TAATGCGATTGTAAGGCTATAATACGCACCTTTAGAAAGTATTTTGAAAATTTCGTGAGTAATAAAATTTCATCCCGGCATAGCCGATACTTTATCCGGGGAATGATTTACATTTTCCCGGTCATTTTAACAACCAATCAAAATGAACTTCCACTGTGCTTGATTAAAAATTTCCAGAACAAACCGATATAATGGCTTATAGTCACCGGCTAAAGTACAGAACTAAGCTAGGAAATCAAACGAAGCAAATCCACAAAATTAAAACGGGAGAATAGTATGCTGCGGAGTTTAAAATAGTCGTAATTTAAATTTTATTGGTCATTGCATTCAGTTTGTATCTAACGTATTAGTCCTCGCCACGCTTCGGGCAATTAAGTTGGTGAAACTGGTGACTATCTAAAACTTGGTAGATATACTGCATAAGCGCAAAATAACGCGCAGAGGCGTTATTTTGAATAATGGCCGAATTAGTTTTAATTTAGGCTAAAATTCGAAATTACACCCTTGCGCGTTATTTCACGCTTATGCGGTAATAAATATCAATAAATATGATCAAATTTTAGAGAATTACCAGTTTTACACCAGCAACTCTAGTATACTCGACTAATTAAATAATCGTGAATAAAATTAGCAAATGGTCGTAAACTTGGAATCGCTTATTTTAAGTAATTTAACACGAATAAATGATTATTCATTTAATGACATGCTTAGTTCAAGTTTTTATTAAATGGCATTTAAAAATGTGATGCTTTCATTTACGAATTTAATATAACGAATATAACGAATATTCTCGAAACCAAAGTGAATATCAAAATTATAATGAAAGTCAAGTGAAATCCTAATATTATTAATTGTCAAGCATAACTTGACTGAAAATCAGGTTCGAAATCACAAATTAAGTCAAGCTACCGTTTTTATGCTTAAGTTGATGAGGGACAAGAACATAAAATCTTTATGGGATATATTGGGTAGTTCTTTACGGACTGGGCTTGGACCGAGCTAGTACAAAGTTAAAAACGACTCTACCCGTACTTACGGATATCTGTTTTTTTTTTTTTTTTTTAGAGGTCGGGCTCGGGATATAAATATTTTCGTTTGGCCGATAAAAGCTTGGCCCGACCCACTCCCATTCCAGCTGCGAATTATGAAATACCCAAAATTTACAAATTTGACTACTAAATATAATAAATGGATTTTAACTGAGATAAACAACATTGCTGTGTTTTAATGCATCATTTTAATAAAATTCAATGTCTAATGAGGCTCGTCGGGAGTGGTGAAGATAGGTTAGACGCATTATCAATCTAGATCAGAGTTCAAAAAATTTTTTCGGGGTTTTTACATTGACCGATTAACTAAAATTTAACTTTGGGATCAAATGCTGGATTTGGTGTCTGAATTTTAACATAATTTCATAAATTCGCCGTGATGCTGCTCCTTAGATGAATTATTTTTGCTCATATCCTGATAAAATTTCTCTACGACTCCTTAATGCAAATGTATTTTTTGGCTCAATTTCTAATGATTTATTAAAATCATAAAGTGCAGCATCAAAATCTTTTATCGCTTTATTTGCTTCACCGCGAACTATTAATGCAAACACATTCTCCGGCTCAATCTCTAACGACCTGTTTAAATTGGCAATAGATTTTTCGTATTCCTTTAATTTAAAGTATGTTATTCCAAAATTTCTTAATATCTCGGCATCATACGCATTATCAGGATCGATATTTAATAGTTTATTTAAATCTACAAGAGATTCTTCAAATTTATGCATCTTTCGATAAGTGTATGCGCGACTTTTTAGTGCAAGCAAATCATCCGGTTCAATTTCTAATGAACTATTTAAATCTACAAGTGATTCTTTATATTTTTTTAATTTATAATATGTTTCTCCACGACTTCTTAATGCAAATGCATTATTTGGATCAATTTTTAATGATTTATTTAAATCATCAAGTGAATTCCCATATTTACCTAATTTATATAATGTTAAACCACGGTATTTTAGCACAAATGCATTATCTGGAATAATTTCCAATGATCTATCTAAATCTTTAAGTGATTCTTCATATTCGCCCAATTTATACAATAATATTCCGCGATTTCCCAATACAAATGCATTATTAGAATCAATTTCTAATGATTTAGTTAAATCTTTAAGAGATTCTTCATATTTGCCAATCATGCGATAAGTTTCTCCGCGATTACTTAATGCAAATGGATTATTTGGTTCTATTTCTAATGATTTGTTTAAATCCGCGAGTGATTTTTTATATTGATTCTTTATGCGATAAATAACACCTCTATTCCTTAATGCAAATGCATTATTCGGTTCAATTTTTAATTATTTGTTTAGATCTATAAGTGAATCATCATATTTATGCATCATACGGTAAATTTCTCCTCGGCTTCTTAATGCAAATGCATTGTCTGGTTTGGTTTTTAATGATTCGTTCAAATCCTCAAGTGATTTATCGAATTCATCTGATTCATAATGTATTTTTCCGCGAGCATTTAATGCAAACACATTATCTGGTTTTATTTCCAAAGATTTTGTTAAATCCCCAAGTGCATTTTCAAACCTTTTCATCATTCTATAAACATCTCCACGAATACTTAGCACAAATGCATTATTTGATTCAATACTTAATGATTTACTTAAATCTGCAATTGCTTTGTTAAGTTCACCCATCCTACGATATACATCACCACGGTTTCCCAGCGTCTTTGCATTATTAGGATCTATTTCTAGGATTTTATTAAAATCTGCAAGTGTTTTGTCAAAATTTTTATAAATCATGTAATAAATATATCCACGATTTTTCAATGCCTCTATATTATTTTGTTTAATTTCTAAAGATTTATTTAAATCTAAAAGAGATTCTTTATATTTGCCTATTATGCGGTAAGTTATTCCACGATTTCTTAACGCAAATGCATCATCCGTTTGAATTTTTAAAGATTTATTAAAATCTGTTAAAGATTCTTTATAATTTTCTATCATGCGGTAAGTTACTCCACGGTAATTTAATGTCCATTTATTATTGGGATTAATTTTTAATGATTTTGTTAAATTTGATATTGATTCTTCATATTTTTCTAATTGGCATAATGTTGCTCCACGATTTCTTAATGTAAATTCGTTATTTGGATCAATTTTCAATGATTCATTGAAATCTGCTAGTGAATATTCGTATCTACCTAATTTGTAATTTGTTGCACCACGGCCATTCAGAGCAAGTATATTATTTGGTTTAATAATTAATGATTTTGTTAAATCTGCAAGTGCGTCATTAAAATTCTCAAGCATTCTATTCACTTCTCCACGAATACTTAACATAAATGCATTTTTCGGCCTAATTTTCAAAGAGCAACTTAAATCAGCAATAACTTCTTCTAATCTTCCCGTAATCCAATTTATATATCCACGATTACTTAATGCAAATTCATTATCCGGTTCAATTCTTAATGAATCGTTAAAATCTGCAAGTGCTTTTTCAAAATCGCCTGTTATCATGTATACTTTTCCACGAAATCTTAATATAAACGCATCATTTGGTTCAATTTCTAGTGATTTGTTTAAATATTTAATGGATTTTTTATAATTATTTAATTTACAATAAATTGCACTACAATTAATTAGTACTTCAATGTCATCTGAATTAATGTCTAATAATTTGTGAAATTCTACAAGGGCTTTTTCAAAATCTGTATTTTCAAAATTTCCCTTCGCTCTAAGTACAGTTCCTCGGCAATTAAGTGTAAATGCATTGTCCGGTTCAAGTTCTAATGATCTGTTAAAATCAGCAAGTGACTCTTCATACATGCTTAATTTATAATATGTCATTCCACGACTCCTTATTGTAAATGAGCTATTCGAATCAATTTCTAACGATTTATTTAAATCAACAAGTGATTTCTGATATTTTCCTAATTTATAATATGTTGCACCACACATTCTTAATGCAAATGCATTGTTTGGAAAAATTTCTAATGATTTATTTAAACTTTTAAGTGATTCTTCGTATCTTCTTAATTTATATAATACTGCACCATGATTTCCTAATGCGAACGCATTATTAGGATTAATATTTAACGAGTCATTTAGGTCTTTAAGCGATTCTTTATATCTGCCCATCATGCGATATGTTTCTCCACGATTACTTAATGCGAATTCATTATTTTGTTCAATTTCTAATGACTTATTTAAATCTGCGAGTGATTTTTTATATTTATTCTTTATGCGATAAATTATCCCTCGATTTCTTAACACAAATGCATCATTAGGCACAATTTTTAATGACTTATTAAAATCATTAAGTGATTCATCATATTTACCCATCATAAGATAGGTTTCTCCACGACTTCTCAGCGTAGATGCATTACTCGAATCAATTTTTAAAGAACTATTTAAATCCTTGAGTGATTCATCAAATTTGCTTAATTTACAATATAATTTACCACGTCTTGTTAATTTCTTCGCATCTGAATTAATATCTCGTTTTAAATCATTTAGTGAGTTTTCGTATTCGATCATGCGAATAACTTCTTCACGATTCATTAGTGCAAATATATTATTTGAATCAATTTCCAATGATTTATTTAAATCTTCAAGCGATTTATTATATCTGCTCATCTTAAGGTTAATTACTCCTCGATATCTCAATGCAGATGCATTATTTGGTTCAATCTCTAATGAACTGCTTAAGTATTTATGTGATTCTTTGTGGTCACCTATCATGAAGTGAATTTCTCCACAATATCTTAATACTTTTGCATTTTTTGGCTCTAATTTTAATAAATCAGTGAAACTTGCAAGTGCTTCTTTATATTTGCTCATCATGAGACAATTTTCTCCGTGATGCTCTAATGTTTTTGCATTGACAACTTGCAATTCGTGAAATCGCTTATCTGTAAATATATTAATATGTATTATTAAATTCAAAAATATTATAAAGTGTAAAATTAGTTGTATGACTTCAGAAAATATAACAAACCTATCGAATTCCTTTCTTTATGAACAGAATCCATTCGTATACAATCCAGTTTAGAAAGAATTTTAGCTATGTCAGGGCGCGAATCCAGACTATCACTCCAAGCTTCGCTATAAAGATCAATAAAATCATTTGGAGTTCCACCAATTGGTGATTCTCGTTTGCCAGATGATACATGTAAGATTATCGCGGGAAGAGTCATGTCTTTAAAAGGAGGTCTTCCACTCGAAAGTTCCCAGAAAATCACACCAAGACTGTAGATATCAGAAAGCTTTTCTCGTCTAAATTTAGTTTCATTCGTAATATCAAAATATTGCATAAAACATTGCGGGTCCATGTAAGCATACATTCCTCCAGAAATGGTAATAGATTTTGTGCTATTTAATGATTTAGATAGACCAAAATCCGTAATCATGAGTCTACCATCATGTACTAATATATTTTTGTCATGCTAAAAATATAATCATTATAAATTATTATATTTTTGATTGTTAAAACAAAAAAAAAAAGAAATCTTACAAGATCACGATGGACGATGTTTTCACCGTGTAACCATTTGATTCCACATGAAATTTCTTTAGCCATCCTAATTTTTGTTGGCCAATCTAATTCAGGAAAATGAGCCTGTAAATAATTTCGGAGATCACCGCCATTTGCGTATTGAAGAACTATGCAATATGTTTTTGTCATGGGATCTGACCAAAATTAAAATTTTATCAACAAATTGTTTATTTATAGTATTTACAGTACGAATCTGACATACCTTGAGTAATTCCAAAAAATTGTATTATATACATATTATAAGCGATTTCAGTAATATTTTTAAGCTATAATGCAGTAATAATTACGAATATGATATTTATAAAATAAGAATAATAACTAGCATAAGTCAAAAAAGCATTATAAAATCATTATACAGTACTTCTCTAATAAATTTATCAACAGAATCTTTATCATTTTCGAGACCTTGATGTAATTTCTTCACAGCTACATCTCCCAAATCTTCAGAATGACCACTATATACATCACCAAACCCTCCACTGCCAATTTTCTTTAAATTCTTAAAAGACCTGTATTCGAGTTCTTTAATGAATTTTCCTTTACGGGCAATTTCAAACCAGTTTTCATATGAAAGTATAATAGACATATTTGTGGTTTTTAAAAGATTTAGCTAAAGATACAGAAATAAAAAATGGTTGATTCCGATGAGTTAAATATGAAAATGCTTATTATACAAATTACGTAAATATGATTATTAATCTTTAATATAACTTTTGTACACAAAAATTTCATTTATTATTTTTTTTTTTTTGCCATTAAGATAATATTCATATAAGATATAATTTGTTATAATAAAATTTCCGGTACTATACTGTTCATATTAAGGGGTAATTAGTTGTTATAAAGTACCAAAGTGGTAGAAAAATTTTGTGGAACTTGGAAATTTTCCTATGCTTTGAAAATTTTTATGTGTATTTTTTTATTTTATAATAATAGAGACCGTTATCCGGTTTTGTTAGTGACCAATATATATATATTTACTTCACAACTATGCCCAAAAATACGCAGTATTCCGTATACTATGATTTTATGCATCTTTATTTATATAATTATAAAGCATGATACGTATTTTGTATGCCATCTATGTATTAGCGTATTTTTTATGATATAAATGTAAATATGAATATTTTTATGATATCATAATTATTACAAGAGTAAAAAGTGATCACAAGGTCATAATGTTGATGTTGTACTGCGGGATCGCATCTTAAAAGGGAAATTATACGTTAGATTGATAATAAAATACTGTAATAGAATAGATGCACCAATCGGTTTTCGATCAGTTGCCATGTGTTACACGAAATCTCCCTTTTCTAAGATCCGGAATTTCACTTACGTACGTACGTACGTATAGTTCGTATGTGCTCTAACGAAAGAATTCCTTACAAAATTTTGATATAAACTTAATCATAATGCAGTATCAATCCTAAATAAAGCTTTATTAACTCGGTTCTACCACAAAATCCCGAAAATTATTTTACCGAAAGAACATAATACCGACTAAATTGGCCAACATTATAATCAATACCAGCTAACTTTGCCGGTATTGGGCCCTTTCGGGAATCTGCCTTTCGGGATTTTGTGCATTAATTAAAATATTTTTATTTGCAAATCTTTTAATCTAACTCAAAAAATTTGTATCAATAACAAAATAAGTAAACCAAAAATAATACTGTAATAATAATCTTGTAAAGAAAAAAAAATATAACATTCCTTACTAAAAAGCACTGGTATTACTTGAACAAATTTTAAGTTTACATTATTACTATTTCTGTTACTATTGTTATAGTTTGGTGATCAGAAGCAGCTTATTGTGAGTAGGCATCTATGCATTATTTCAAGTATAATCATATGCGTTATTTGAAGATAAGTACCAATTTCTGGACCTCATAGTTACTGTATTATAAATACACCATTGCTATGTTAATCAAAGTTTTAGGTTCAGATAGCCTTAATTCGATTAAGGTAATACTTTGTTAATTTTAGCTATATATTTGTCAAAAGTATTCTTAAGTAACAAACAATAAAAAGTTAAGCTTCTAGCTATCTTTCTTAGTAATTTAATAACCCTATCGTGAATAAAATTGTAGATCTAAAAAGTATACTGCAAACTTGCTAGCTTCAAGGAACAGTAGCTTTTATTTTTTAATATAAGAGTCAGTAATAAGACAGTTATCTAATAAGTAGAAAGTAATACTCGTATAATGTTTGTCTTATTTTATAATTAAACCCCTCTTTTGTTCATTTAATAAAATCATCACAAATAGTAGTTCGAATATTAACACTAACTGCTAATAAAAGTTGATACGTACATACTGACAACTGTAAAACGGCGAGTCAGTCGCTAATCGATCCGAGACTTCGTGTAACCTACAACCGGCTTAATCAAAGAGAGGCGTTTAGATTTGTGAGTGGTGATTTTGGAGTCGTAGGTATAGCTTCCACTTAGGTTTAAACCTTGATATCACGCTAACACTTTTTAATTTAACTCAAATCAATTACACACGAGAACCACGGCTTGAATTCTTCTTCTTGGACTCAAACCGGAACACAATAACCACAATAATCCACGGTACGTTGGGAGAGTTGGACAACAACCACAACTATCTTCAGTCCGTCGAGACAGTTGGAAAATAACAACCACGGGAGATCTCAGTTCGTCGAGAATCAACCGGACAGAGTTTCGGTACAATTTACAATTATCATGTGCACACGAAAACAACGATCTTACTACTTATGCCACTTAAGTAGTAGATCAGGGTTGAGTATTTTATTTATCGGGTATATGAGGTATAGGATTATTTGAGAACGGATTTATGTGAATCATGAAGGATATCTTCCCTCAAGGGCGAGAAGCCTTTATTAAATATCTTTTATTACATATGAACCATTAAAACCGTTTTATCTATTTGATTAATTAAAACCACTTTATCTATTATAACCAATTTATCCCTTAATCCTATTTAATCTGTTAAAACCATTAAAACCAATAAAACCATTAAACCCATTAAAAACCACGAAATCCCCTTAGGCACAGCCACAGGTCCGGCGCTGCGCCTCATTCCTGTTGCCGGGGCCTGTTTCCGCGGCTCACACTAGTCAGATCGGTACGGGATTTGGCACTGGTATTGACACGATAACAAATACAAACATGTGGATTAATGATTAAAACATAAAATTTACTTAGTAATCAATATAATATGAACAAACTAACTGCATATAGTAAAATTTTTTTGTTAAGATACCCAGAGTAGCTTCATCAGTGAAATTATAACATTTGTGCAATGTACATATACGTGTCATCTGAACGAACCATTCCGTATGATGTGATATGACGTACTGTTCCTTGCTGTAATGTCCAGGCCATTTTTTACCATGCAATTCCGTAAAGCTGCCTGTGAACAGTATCATGATATAGGGAAATTATCCGTACATGTGATCATCTGAGTATCATCTCCAGTCTGGTTTGTCCGAAAAATGCTTTGAAACAGTACTTAGAATATCAAATGTATACATTAATGTTAAGAATTTTTATAACAGTAATATATTATTCTATATAAAATTATTCGTTTTCTAAGATCTAGTTATGTCATTATTGTAAATTTATAAAAATTTCTACTAAAGCTAAAAAAAATTTTTTAATAAAATTTAGTGTAAAGCTTTTCGGACTGATAATTAACAATATTAAATAATAATTATTGAAATTAGAAATATCAGATATTAATTATTGAAATTAGCAGTAAAAAATATTATTACGATAACAATATCTATCTTGATTAAATATACAGTATATAAATATTTTATTGATAAAATAAAGTCCACAATTTTAAACCATGCTATGTTTGACTTTGTATTCATCTGTGTTATACTGCTTTAATATTATTCAGTAATAAAAATAGATAGTCTAGTTATTAGCAACTCATATAATATAATACAAATTATTAACTGTAAGTTCTTGCTCAAAGTACTCTGCCATACATTTTACAGCTACTGCCTTGAGCTCACAAACATGGCATATATTCAAGCTATAGTTCTTAGATTCAGTTCAGTTTAATATAGATTCATGTTTAGGCTCAATTGGAACTGAATCTAAACTACAAATTTTGATAATCTTAAACTTGAATTTTTTAGTTCAAGTTTAGTTTAATGTTCATGAATACAATAACTTATATATATTTTTATATATAAAACAAAATTACTTAGAGCATGGTATTTTTTGTATTCATATCTTATATAATTTTTAAAAGTGCAGATTATAATAGAATTTTTTAAATTAAATCTGCACAGATTACAAATTTTTTTCAATAATCACTATCAATTTGAAGTTTTGCACAGATCTGATATATGGAGGTGGTCAATAAAAACCAAGAAAATTTATTAGATAAATTTGCTTGGTTTCTATTGTCCACCCCATATATAAATTATTAAAGATCCGTGTGTTTATAAGATAAAAAAATTACCCCGATAAAAGATAGAATTAATTAGTAAAATTTTGAGAATTATATTATAATTTACTATTTTATTAATAAAATTATGAAAAATATTATAATTTATAAAGTTTTACTGATTAATTCTATCTTCATGCTCTAGATAATTTTGATTTATATATAAAAATATAAATAAGTTATTGAACTTGAACATGTTTATAAACTTTTAAACTAAGCAGCTAATATGTATCAATATTTCGTATCAGATACGTTAAAGAAGAATTTAATAGAGGAGGAATGCCTTTAAACCATAAACATATTTATTTTCCACAAATAAAAAAAGGTTATAGCCTTTTTAAAATTAGTTTAAACATGTCAATTTCTTTAAATAAATCAATATCTGTTGATTCATCATTAGCAAACATAACATCAATCCGTCCTTCATCATCACCAACCGTATAGGTTGACATATTTGTGACAGAATTATGTGAAACATTCATATTACTTGTAATAGTTTGATTAGTCAGACTATAACTATCTTTTAAGGAATCTGGTGAAATTGATAAGTTTAAATGATAGGATAATAAATCTGAGGAATATTGAGAAGAATCTTTTAAATGAACAGGTTCAGGAAGAGCTAAATAAATATCTTGATCATTTTGGTTATCATGAGTTATAGCTTGCTTTAAATTGTCGTTTCCAAACAGAGTAAAAGAAGTATTAATCTTATTTTCTGAAAAAGAATTTACCGGTGATAAAAGGCTATGTGAAAATAGTCGGGATGAAGTTTTTGGAGCAGAGAAAAGCTTAATTAATAGCATGTATCTTAACCATTCTAAAAGAGAAGGTTGTGAAACTAAATTGTCATTATTAATATCAACTCTATTATTAATAAGAGTATTATTATTATTATTATTATTACTATTATTATTATTATTATTATTATTATTATTAGTATCATCATTAATAATATCGCCATTATCATGGATAATATCGCTTTTAATGGTATCAATCTGACTGGAGTTTAAAATTTTCAAGTCAACAAAATTATTGGATATTCCTAGCATGTTAAATTTTTCAGTAATGGCTTTGTTGTAAGATCGATGAGAGTAGTGGGACTCATAATAGTTAACATAGGAGATCCACCAATGTAGTTTAGCAACTTGAAAAGCACGAGTAACGGCAATATCTTGAGAAAATACTAAAGTATTCATTAATCCTAAGATAAAGATTAAAAAACAAAACATTCGTAGCTAAATAAACAAGGAATAGTCAAATAAAAAATATATAGTATATATATAATCACCTTGAAGTGATAAGCCAATGTAGCTAAGTAATATTAGAGGATAAGGTACCGCACGATTAACATAAGCGTATGTTTCAATTAAAGAGCCAAAAAATTGAGCTACTAATGGCACCACAGGGTACCACATAACCCTTCTGACAACGAAAGAAATTACAGATTTAGTAATCTTTGTGGAATAACCTGCTAACTGAGAATTTGGAAGAGAACCAAAAACATCATCAACTTCTTTTTTTACAGATTTAAGTTTTTTAATGACCATGATTACAACAATCATACAATACAAGATAGATGCATATATCCAACCAAAAAAAGTAATCCATTGCCATATTAAATTTTTTTCTTGACCCAAATAATGATACAAACAGCCACTATAATAAATATTAACAAGGATAAATATGAAATAATAAATACATAAACTATAGATATATACATGTATATATCTATATCTAATGTATATACATACCATTCAAGACCATCATTGTCAAACATGTTAGCGGCAATAGGCAGGAGAGAAAGTAAAAGGGCAAAAGATAATGCAATTATAAAATAATATTTTTCAAAAGTATAACGACTTTTATATTCATTTATAAATATTATATGAAGGTTCTAAAAAAAAAAAAAAGTTAAATGAAACATATATAAAGAACACAGTAAATATAATTAATAATACACACCATAGTTATACAAACAATAAAGAATAGAGAAGAAAGATTAAAGAATACAATTGCCCAAGTCTCATAAATAAAAAGAATCAAGATATTAAGAATTAAAAAAAGAACCTATTGAATGTCAAAAGAAATGCTGTTTTGTATTGAAGAAGAGAATTAATGAATATCTTACCAAGTACCCGCATAAAAAATCGGGAATAGTATCCCAAAAAAAAAAAGCCAAAAGATGACCAGAGTAACCTACATCACAGAATGAGGCTGCAAAAGCTAAACGAAAGGAAACCCGATCTGCAAGATTAGGATAGTATATTCGTATTAAACTAAATGTCACGCATAAGATGATAGTAGAAATGAGAGAAATGATATTCAGAGGAACACATAAATAATATTTAATGGTTGTAATGATAGTAGCCATTAATCATAATGTTTGAAGAGATTCGACAAAGTATCGATTCAAAACATTATATATCATTAAAAAAAATGTGGTATATAGAAAGCACTGAAGCTGAAAATATATTTAACAGATATATATAGATATCAACATCATTGAAGAATTGTTTTTCTGCGATTTAAACCAATAATATTGAAGATTTATTTTTAAACCAATAATCATGATGTCCATTAAATAAAAAAGCAACCCCTCGATGAAATTTATCCATTGATACATAATATTTGCATTATGTTTCTTATGTAATTAAATCTTTACGACAAATTGTGCTATTTCGCAATCCAAAATATTTACTTGCCATCAGTTTCACGCAGGTTATATAATGCTGATCATTGATTAAGATTTTTTATAGTGAACTGCAGATCAACGATAATTTAATAGTGAAAACATAGAAAGCTTAAGCTGCAATAACTCTTGAACTAGTAAACCCACGCAATTATAATTATATTTATCGTGCTCGTTATAATGTACTCTTTAATGTGATAACACTCTTTTTTTTTATTTTATTTTTATTTTATAGAGCATAACGGGGGAATAATGTAATACCAAAATTCTCGTTTTTGATTAATTATTAACAAAAAAACTCAAAAATGTAACTTTGAATTTTTGTGCATATTGTAACACAATATACAATAGCTACGTTTTTGATTTTTTTATTAAAAAAAATCAAAAACGAGAATTTTGGTATTATGCTATTTCTCCGCTACGCTCAAGACATTAAAAGTAAATAAAAAAAAGAACGTTGTCTCATTAAAGGGCATGTTATAAAGAACCAGACAAATGTAATCTTATTTGTGTGAATTTACTGGTTCAAGGGTTATTGCAGCTTGAGCTTTCTATGTTTTCACTATTAAATTATCGTTGATCTATAAAAAACTCTTGATTAGTGATCATTATATAACCTGCACTATATTTGTAATCAGACTGATGTGAAACACCCCAATCAGTGATGCCACAAAGAATTTCGACAATGGAGTTTGCAACAGATCAAAATTTATTTACCAGTTTTATTGGAGTTAGGGCTAAACCTTATTTTAGGTAAGGGTAGGTATTAGCGGCATTATAGTTATTTTTTGATCTGACGCAAATTTTTAATTTGATGTACAAAGATTGACATTCATGTACATATATGGTGATTATAGTTAAATTAAATTACTGTGTTACGGTCCGAGGACTATTCTTGTTGCTGAATTATAGCTCTAGACCGTGAGTATAAAAGGGGCTACTCTTTCTGTCATTCAAATAGTCGTGTGTAATGCGCTTGAGAAAGTGTGGGAATATAGGACCTTAAAGTTTAGTAGTTCCAATCGGTCATATACGTATTTAAGGTTTGCGCGATCAGATTATGCATGTACTTTATTAGTACAGGTTTTTAAGATATAATAGTTAAGGGATTACCAAGTATGGAGGTCATCTAAAGCCAGCTATATAGTTTTTAAATTGATTACTAACAAATTTCTAAATTAAAAATCACGTGACGAACATAAATTACTACCTGGATTTAGTCGATCTCTAAGTGAGGTAATAAACAAGTATATATCGTCAAATAAAATAGTATTTACGTACAAAAAAAAAGTGTTATGTACAGTACAAGTTATGTATGTATTATATGTATGCTACGTATCGGATAGATCTACCCTCCTCTCTGACAAAAGCCATCTTTTTATATACACTCTCGCTTACTAACTTACATACGATAAAAAAATGATGTAACTTATGATCTAAATTACAAACTATGAAGTAATCAATAAAGCGGTCGTAAAAATGTAGTAATGGGAAGAGTGAAGAAACTAATGTGTAGATATTTGACAGCAACAAGAAGGATGATGTAACGGTGCGTAAAAAAAAATGTAGTAATAATAGAGTAATTAGAACTGATTAATTGTGCCGTCGCAATAATCGATCGGAAATTGCGACGCATACACGTGATGACGATCAAATCGATCGATTTTGTTGAAGACAAATTTCGTGATGCTATGATAACTAAATGTTTGGGAATTTGTTCACTGATTGATCATCAAAATGGTTAATAATAGTAGTCAAATTCCTAGATTAACATTTTCCTAGATCACCCCTCAATTATGTTCTATGTAATCGTCTTTAATGTTTTTTGTGTATTGTATCACTATTATGCAGGGGCTTGGCAAAGAAAATTTTCTTCATAAAGCCCAAAAAGGAATTGTCATTATTCTTACATGGACCGGGATTATTTTGATTTGATCATTAAAATTGAATTGTAACAAAAAATTGGTGCATTTCGAAAACAAGTAGATTTCAATAGCATTTTTACTATGTTGAACTAGAACCTGATCTTGCTTGGCAGCGCAGCCGCCCGGTTTTATTTCAAAGGTTCTGCAAGTTTATAATTTGTACGCAAAATTAAATTAAGAACTTATTTAGATGTAATAAAAGATATTAGTGTTCATCAAATAAGTTTTCTTGAATGAATTGAAATCCAATAGACATTAAATAATATGAATACCAGGAACGGAATGCAATGAAGTGTATGGTTATCTGAAAAGTGAAATTATGTGTATAAATTCTGACCTCTGATTGGTATAGTTCTTGATTTAACTTCACTAATTATATATCTGATATGCGAACTCGTGTACGTATAACTAACTATGTTTGTTTAAAAGTTATATTAAATCAGTTTTTATAACTTTACTGTACTTGTCTTAGCGTAAGAATTACTTTATTACTATTTAAAGTATCTTGCAAATTCCATTCTATAAATAGATCATTTAATTTTAATTAATTGCAATGATATCTGTTGTATAAGATTTATGGCTATTTCAATTTAATTATCACCTTATACAGGTTTTATCATCACATTTGGATACTGAATAGCGTATGCTCATAAATCATTAATTTAGTCCTGGGAAAGTAGCTTAATATGTTAACCCCGTGTTTAAAACTACCTTGTACAAGATACACATGCGCGGGTAGGATTTTTTTTGTGCAGGAGAGGTTCTGAATGTATATTCACAAGTGTGAAATTAAATTTAAATGCGGAGCTTGCGCAAAAATTGACGAGCAAGAGAAATTTTTTGCACAAAATTTAGTCTAATTATATACAATCCGAAAAGAAAATGAATGAACATAAAATACGAGCAAGGCTGAACTTAAATTTAGAAAATATCCGAAATATTCCGAATCTAAAAAAAAGGTAAAATATTTGATATTGTAATTTTATAACGTTGGCATCACTCAGAGAGAATAAATATGTGCATATAAAAATTAATTTATATGCACATGTGTGCAACTAGTAGCTGGTTTGTGCAAATAGGTTTCGATCTGAATTTTAAACATTGTGTTAAACATCGATTTTTATACAAATATGGTATTAAAAGTAAGCGTAAACTATATCCTGCGATTTATTCACTCTTCTAAAATTTTAGGAATGGTGTGCAACGGATTACTGATTTGATATAATTTTAAATGTTATGGAATCCTTATTTAAGTATTAAAAGCAAGTGAAACTTATAAATAACGAACCATTAGTTTCTAAGTGAATTTCTCGGAATTACTGATTAATTTTTATAATTTTTGCATAGTGAATATACGTTCTTTAAAACTAGAAATGGTTAGATGATGATTTTGTTAGTGAACTTTATTTTGTTGGGCTTGTGTATAATTTATACGTACAATAAAAATAACATTCATTCTTGATTATTTCAACACCTATTGTGAGACCTGAAAACCGTGATCGATCACGTGAAAAATGCACGAAATGCATGAAGTGCAAATACTTACATTTATGATCGAAAAGGGTATTTCGGATACGTAGGGGTAGATAGAAAATAATGAAGGGAT